TCGCTCGATCACAGAATGGACTACTCCGTGACTTGCTGGTGCCTTATCAGAATTTTTATGAGGCATAGTGTTTTCCTTTTGTATCTTCGTACACCAATTGTCCCACTGGGCGTGCCAAATTGTTTCGCGTGATTTGTCGCTAACAATTAAAAGAGAGTCAGACGATTGTGTAAGGAACAAACCTCTTGGAACAAAGTCTCAAAAAGGGGTGTTTATCAAACTTGAATATTACAATTTGGATATGAACAAGATGCCTCCAGGTGGCGCAAGCACACGAGTACAAAGAAGTGAATTAATTAAAGCTAATCTAAGAAAAAAGAAATTATATATTCTCTGTTTGAGAGTGAATTTTTTTGGGCTTTCTTCATTGCCTTCTTCTTTCTTTTATACTCTTTGAACAGTTTCTTAACCGTTTGGAAACTATTTATAACTACCCATTTCCTTCATAATGGCTGACTGGCTAATAACTACTATTCGTAACTCCTGTCACCACGTTTTCTTCATAACTGTTTGCCACTAATCTTCTCAAATCGTGGGGTGTAGTCGTGACATGCTCAAACCGCTTTAAATCGCGATAACAGGATTTAATCATCACTAGGATTCTGGGCGACTCGACAGTTTGGGCGACAATTGGTTCTTCCCTCTGAGCGACCATAATGTACTTCATTCGCTCAACCTCGGGCGTTCATGTAGGTTTGGGCGACGATGTTCCTTTATTTGTGGGCTTTCATCATACTTAACGACATTCTTGATTGGGCCTTTATCCTGATCTCTTTGACTAGGCTTCCTCTCTTGGGCAATTTCCTCTCTTAGGCCGTTTCTTCTCTTGTGCCGTTTCCTTTCTTTGGGCCGTTTGAATTGGGATGTACATTTTTGTGTGTCAACAGAAACATTGACGTATTTGTTCAATTGTTTGTACTTGGAATAGAAGTGGAATGAGTTGTGATGAAATGTCGTAAATGTACTTAAATGTGAACTAGATACAATTGCAATGTTGTAAATGTACTTAAATAGAGGCAATTGCAAAACAATGTGAGCTTCTCTCCCTTCATTCTCTCACTCAAATGTAGCCTAAACTCAACACTCGCAACCCCCCTTTATCTATAGGAGACCATTACGGTTAGAATAAGGAGCCTTTCGAAAAAGAATTTTTCTAGTTGTACATCAAGAATTGTACATAAGGGTCTACACTCCCCTCACATGAGGGGTGGGACCCATTGAAATAACATTTTTTTATTCGAGCGGATCACACCCCCCATGTGAGAGGGGTGTAGACCCTTATGTATGGGGTGATGTACCTCTAGCAATGCTCTTCGAAAAATAAGATGAAAAGTATTTTATGAGAGAGAAATGGTCGTGTTTGGTGTACACTTTAGTGTACAACTTTATTTACATTCATCCACATGGTAAATTGTGATTTGACAGTTTTAAAAAAAAAAACTATCTTTTCATCTAATCAATTTTTGACAATCATGCTAGTTTCAAGCATGACGTACAAATTCAATGTACAAATGGCAAATTACAGAAGGAAATACGGTATGAAGGTTGATGTTTTTAATTGAAGTCAGCCGATGTGTAACTTTCTCTTACAAAGTCACATAAATCTCTCTTACAAAGTCACATAAGTAAGACAGATGTTCAATTTATTGAAAAAATCCAAATTACATTAAAGGATAAATTGCACTTGGTGACCCTAACCTTTGAAGGTAGTAATTGATGATCTCAAACTTTTGATTTATAGAATTTGAAGTCCCAAACCTTTCAAGCGTTTATGTTTGACATTCTTTTGTGATTAAAGTTTGATCGCTTGCTAAAGGTTAAAAATTGAGTAAAATGATAATTAAGGTCCAGGACACCATGTGAAGTTTATCCAAAAATAAAAGTAAGAACTAAGTCCCCGTTTGGCGTATATTTTTGGAAAAAGAATGCATTTTTACTGTTGATGTGATTGGGAATATGTGGTTGAAAATTAAGGAAAAGTTATTGATGTGATTGAAAGTATTATTTTATTGAATAATGTGTGGTTGAAAATGAGTAGAAGAATAAGAATGAAAAAATATCAATTTAATTATTTGTACACACACCTTGTAAGATTAACCAAAGATGTGTTTTAAAAATAAAAAAAAAAAAGTCGAATTACATGATACATGACCTTTTAATTAAAAAGTTACATATCGGGTGACTTTCAAAGGTAGAATCTAGCCAAACGTGCTCTAATAATTGAAAAGGTGAACAAAATCAGAATTTCCTTCTTCGATACCTTTTTATTAATTTATACAGACGATACTGAAACACGGTTATGGTGAATTCTTTACACTCTACACTGCTGCATTAGCCATCGCATGCCTTCCTCTCCGGCGCTTCAACTCTCAAACCTTTTGCTCCACTGCACATTCGAACAGCTGCAGCAGCTTCATGCCTTAATTATCAAAACATCCCTAGACGGAATCCCCGAAATCCGTTTAAAGTTCCTCCGGCGGAGCACTGAATTTGGGAGGATGGAGTATTCGAATCTCATTTTCAACCAAATGGGCGGTTTTTTAAATACAGAAATCACTCTTTGGAATGCGATGATAAGAGGCTATGCATATAATGGACCCTTTAGGAATTGCATTTCAATGTTTGATGAAATGATTCTTAGAAATCTTAAACCAAATAATTTCACATACCCTTACGTTTTGAACTCTTGCTCTCAGTTGGGATTGTTTAGTAAAGGCCAAAGAGTGCATTGTCAGATAATAAAGTCTGGATTTGTGAGTGCTTTTTCAGTTGGGAATGGACTTTTTGATTTTTATGTAAAAAATATTGATTCTTTACAGATGGGTTTGGGGAAGAGTGGTAGTTTAGATGATGCTAGGAAGATTTTCGATTTTATGTGTGAAAAGACAATAGAATTATGGAACAGAATGGTTGGTATGTATGCGANGATGCTAGGAAGATTTTCGATGGTATGTGCCAAAAGACAATAGAATTATGGAACAGGATGGTTGGTAAGTATGCGAGTATTGGGGATATGACGAGTGGGAAAGAGCTGTTTGGTAAAATGCCTGAAAGAGATGTGGTTTCATGGAATACTGTGATTTCTGGTTATGTTAAAGCAGGTGAAACTGTGAAGGCTAGAGATTTGTTTGAGCGAATGCCGGAGAAGAATGTGGTGTCATGGACTACTATCGTTGGAGCGTATGCTCATGTAGGTGACCTCAAAACCGCGAGGAAATTTTTCAATAAAATGCCCGAGAGAAATGTGATTTCATGGAATTGCTTGATGTCGGGTTACACCCAGAAAGGGGAATTTCAAGAGGCACTCAATCTTTTTGTTCAGATGCAGTTAGAAGGTCTCGAGCCGGATTCTTTCTCCTTTGTTTCAGCTCTATCAGCTTGTTCCAACTTAAGTGATCTTCAGTGTGGGAAATGGGTGCACTCTCTGATAAAAGATTGGCCTAATCTAGGTGTTATAGTAGGGACAGCCCTTATAGAAATGTATGCTAAATGTGGATATATCGACAGAGCATTTACATATTTTATCAAGA